ATATAAAAAGGTTTAAAAGATAGATAACCGCGGATCCGAAACCAGAATATTGTCTTTGATAACTCTCTCCTACAATTTGCAGACTTTAGTTACAATAGTCTTAATACTTGATATAATGCAAAAATCTCACAATAATAAAATCGGTTAATAATTATTTATAACTATTTATACTGGGACCCATGCATGTAATTACAAGTAATCCATAATAATATTTAAAATTTTGAAATCATATTTGTTTTGGGCATATGAATGTTTTGAAACAAGTTCTAAATCTTCGATTGTCTTTCAATCGTTCCACTTCACTTGTTATCCTCTTCCACCGCACCTATAAGGCGTGCTGCAACGTTTGGGAACCGCTGACCTACTGGATATGTCTCCCCGATTAATAGTAATGGCTGGCCGCTTGTATCCGAATATTCTCTCTTCTAGGGCGGCTAGCCAATTGCTATTGCAGGCTATGCTCAGGCATTTTTTTTTTTGTTGTTGAAAACCTACAGCTTCCACCTGTAAGTATGGTAAGCGGACCTTAGTTACAGTTTCTGGGAGAGAGCGTATTATCTGGCGTGATCAACAGTCTAAACAAGGCCAGCCTGCTCAAGCACTCGGTCACAATGACTTGAGCCTTGATGCTAGCTCAAACATCGACGGCTCCCAGTCAGTTTCGTCTATTCAATTTCCCTCACAAGGCTTGGGTCGACCCGTAGATTAGTTTTCAGTCACTCTCCAAAGATGCTGCCTGTTGTGATGGCCTCTACAGACTGATACGATCAAGAAGTCACGTTCCTGAGAAATCGTCCATAGTACAATTCGAACCCAGGTCGTAAAATGAACGTTCTAAACACTAAAGCACGTGCCCGATCAATAAAATTTAGACCCTCTTCAAGTCTGGGGTTAATCGTTTTCTATCCTACATAACATGCATTACTTACTCTCACATTGTACACCTTACAACAGGATCATTTATTAACCCTTTACTTAGAGTGTCTTTTGGGTATTTTATTGGGTGTCACATTAGTATAAAAATAGCAGAATAGACACTTCTCTTTAGTCTTGGGTACATGTCAGTCGTGGGAAAGGACAACACTGAATTTAAAACCGCAGAGACAGAAAACCGCATCACTTTACCAAGATGTCTTTGCTATTTGCATATAATAAAGAAGATCAGCAAATGGAGAATCACGATTGACGACAATAAAAAAAGGATTTCTCCTTTTCTAGACCAGAGATTCTCAATATGGACCATGAGGTCCAGGTAAAATTTCTGGTGGTCCACAAAAAAAAAAAATAGCAAATTGGGAGTCCATGGTAATATTTCAGTGGTCCATTTCACATGCTAACGTAGAAAAAGAAAGCTAAAAGCATATTTTATGAATACAAACAAAAAAGATCAGGTTTATTCATATGATTTAGGGCAGAGGTTCTCAACTGGATTCATGTAACATTACCGGGGGTCCCCACAAAAAAATAGCAAATTGGGCGTCCATGGTAATATTTCAGTGGTCCACAAAGCAATTTCACTTTGGAACAATTGTTACAACTGAGACTTGGAATTTCTACATTAATCTACGCTTTATAAAAATCCCCAAAATAAACTATCAGAAAAAGAGATCAAGTGATGTAGATTAGCGATCGTTTGATTGTAAAAGTTGAATAAAAACTGAGAAGGATATATAAAGGAAGGATTATATATAGGGTGACTGAAAAGTAACTCCATATTTTATGTATGAGTGGCCAGACAGGAGTTCTGACTTAAAACCCTATGATTTTTTTCTTTGGGATTTGTTAAAGGAGGAATTCTACTATACCTAACTTGAAAGAACTTGAAGGGCGAATACAAGAAGTTTTGTCTTCCGTACCACCAGAGTTCCTAGTGAAATCAGTTAACATCATTTATGGACGGCTCGAGAAGCTGGGAGAAAAATCATTCTAAACACTTTTCTTTTATATCCATTTCTTGTATAAATTATAGTTGATAAATAAATAAAAAAGTATTTCAAAATTGAGAATTACTTTTTCAATCGCCCTGTATATATAAAGGAAAATTATATACAATTTTTCAACATATAAAAAAAAAATAAAATAAACATTTTTATCGAATTATTATGAGGTGGGGTCCACCGAAACAAATTAAGAGTTAAAGTGGTCCATGGGGGAAAAATGGTTGATAGCCTCAGCTCTAGACTGAAAAAATATATACAATAAGTTGTCCGAGACGTTGTATTAACATGGAAAGCAAAAGAACATGCGGTCAGTCATCCAAACAAATTTTTAATCAAATACTAATCTGTAAAAGTCCCTTGACTTAAAACAAGTGACCAAAAGGTAAGGTAGCAAAGTAAAGAAAGAAGAAGGGACTACTTATCAATTGTAAGAAGACAGAATGCTTTGCTTTGAGAAAGAAGGTTCATCCTTCTAGGTATGAGTTTTAAAATGGCGACGTCAAAATAAAACAAGTACAGAAATTTAAGCGGGAAATATTATGGCAGACATATGGAAAAGATGTTATAACAGACTTATGCAAAACATGATACTGATGTACAAAAACGCATTGGAATATGCCTTCCAAAACCTAAAGAAAGCATTAAGAAATAGGAAAATTGCGTTACTAGCAAAGGCCAGAGTAATCATCTGTGATGTAATATCAATCCTACTGTATGGCGGTTAATCCTGGAAAACGTCATCACAGATGAAGAGGAGAGTTGAGACAACAGACGTTGTTCTACAGTAGGATGTTGAGAATACTATGGCTAGAACATGTAAGTAAAGTATTATTTTTAAGGAAAGTGGGAACGAAAGGACACTTCTGTTTAGGATCGTAGGCAGACAGTTGAATTTTCTGGAACACATAATAAGGAAGGAAGGCTTGGCGAATTTGATGCTCAAAGGGGATACTGAAAGAGGGGCAGATGGAAACCGCGAGTAACGTAAGTTACTTAAAGCTCCAAATGATGGAAAGCTGTGGAGAATCATGATCGCCCACGTCTTGAAGTGACACGGCACACAAAAGATGAATATCAAAATACATGCATATACTCAGTTTCGTCTCATCTGGCACAAGACTACCATCAAGGGGGCTTTCGACGAAAGTCAGCCAGCCATTTGCACAATCTCAAAGCTGCCTCTTTCTTATACTAGGTATGTCTTCTTTCTGTTTCCATTTTCCTTAAGACTTATTCGTTACTTACGCACTCCGACTGTGGTACAGTCCTGGGTATGACGATAAACTACATCCTGCAGCAAGACCTCTCATCTGGAGAGTGAAAGTTTCGAAGAGCATGGAACCACCACATGATTGCTATTCTTCTTAGGCCCATACAGACCAATCCAGGATGGTAGCATGTGTTAGCATCCTAGTTATGGACAAATAGTACCCCCTCAAATACAAAACAAAACACTATGAAAGTATGAAAATAGATTTTAGTAGTAAAAGTACCAGCAATATATGTACACACACATACATAGTATATATATATATATATATATATATATATATATATATATATATATATATATATCAAATGAAAGAAAGAACAGGGTAAAATCCACAGTTCGTAGCATTTACTTTTAAAAAAAAACTTAGTAAGTTACTTACCATCTGAAGAAGTACTATCTTAGTAATAGTATTGAAACATGAAATTTTTTGTGCAGCGATTTCAAAAAATTTTTTTTATAATGACATATAATATATATATATATATATATATATATATATATATATATATATATATATATATATATGACCTATACGGTTTATATAGAGAATTACCAACAATACATTTTATAGCAAAATGATCAGTACGTCTTCTATAGGTGAAGACATACAAAGTTACACGGGCGGGAAGTGTGAGAAAAGACAATGTTGGAGTAGAATTGGTAGTTACATCTAGCTGTTCCAAAAGTAACAGTTTGGGACCTCGATGTTAATCTAGTCACACGCTGAAATTCATGTAGTCCGGACACCAGTGAACAAAAGCTCGTGAGAGCAGTTGCTATGAAAACCTTTGTAGAAAAGACAGAGGGAAGCCGCGTCATGTCAAAATATTTAGTTTAAGCCATAAAACTGTATTCAAAATATTTAGATTTCTACATTAAATAACGCATAGTAGTTGATATGCCGATAAACAAAATCAATGAACCAACCTTATGTGGCATGCTCAGTATTCTTTCTGTAGAACGACGTTACTGTTGACGCAAGTCTTGTCTTCAATTATGAAGAAATTACTCAGCATTTTACGCCATATTAGAGGGCTGTTATTAGGCCCAAATCGTTAGATATTTTCTTAGGATTCTAACAGTCTAGTGCAAGTTTATTTAGTGATCTCTGCAGTGAAGTTTGGTTGATTACTTTATCCATTCATTTTTACGGCTTATCAACCCATTGTATGCTATTTAAAGCCCTCGAATAATCTTCTCAATCATTTGTGAGATTTTCTTGCAAAGCACCGCTTTAAGATTGGTGCTCAATAAGATATTTATCCTTGTAAGGCGCCCCTAAATTTCCTAGCGTTCCTATAGATTTTGTCCAATTTTATATGCGTTTTAACTGACGCGTTTCTCGTCACCCGATTTCTTTTGATCGGCAACCGTTTGAAACTAGCTCTCTCTCGGTGCAAATCGCTCAGAATTTTTCCGGATGGGGTGACCTATAGTGACTTTGCCATTTATTTTACTCGGTCAGCGCGACATAACTTCATACGACGCGTCCAGATCGATTTAATGCACTTGGGGTACTTTTACTGTGAATCCTAACAAAAGTGTCAAAGAAGAAGAAAAAAATTTGAAAAAAGGGAAAACTAACCTAAAAACTCGATCAAAATGAATTTAAAAACGAAGAAAAAAAAAAGATAAAAAGGTTAATGCAAATGATATAAGAAAAAAATGTAGCGTAAATGATTGACGGACTTTGAAATGTATTATGGGGGAATTAGATGGGAAGAAAAAATCGAGAGTAAATGAAATTCAAGTGAAAAATGAAATGAAAAATGAAGAATTAGGATGAGTTAAAAATCAAAGAGCAAAGGAGAAATGTGTAAAGAAAAAAATGAAAGAAAGAAGTAAATAAAATGAACAAGAGAAGGAAAGAAAAAAGAAAGAAAAAAGGAAAAGAAAAATTCCAAAAAATAAAAGAAAAAAGAAAAAGGAAGAAAGAAGAAAAGACAAGAAGAATGAGAAAGAAAGAAAGAAAGAAAGAAAGAAAATGCAAATGAATAAATAAAGGAAAATCCTAAAAGAGAAAAGAGAATGTAAGAAAGAAAAAGAAAAGAAAGAAAAATCCAAAAAATAAATAAAATGAAAGAAAGAAGGAAGGAAAGAATGAAAGAGATAAGGGAAGAAAAAGAAGGTAAGAAAGAATGAAAGAGAGAAGGGAAGAAAAAAGAAGGAATGAAAGGAAAAAGAAAAATTTCAAAAAATAAAATGTAGTAACAAAAAAAGAAAAAGAAAAAAGAAAGAAGAAAATACCGGAAAAATGACAAAGAATGAAAAAAGAAAGAAAGAAAGGATCTGAAAGAGTGAATGAAGGTAAAAACACGCAGAAATGACTGAAAGAAAAACGAAAGAAACTAGAAAGAAAGAAAGAAAGAAAGAAAGAAAGAAAGAAAGAAAGAAAGAAAGAAAGAAAGAAAGAAAAAGAAAGAATTAAAAAAATCAAAAAAATAATTGATAAAAGAAATAAAGAAAAATTATGAAAAGAAAAAAGAAAGAAGGAAAGAAAAAGAAAGAAAAGAAAAATCCCAAAGAATAAATGCTAAAATAAATAAAAGAAAAACCTAAAAACGCCGAAAGAAAGAATGAAAAAACGAAAGAAAATCCTAAAGAATAAATGATGTTAGAAAGGAAAACCATAAAAAGAAAGAAAATTGGTAAAAGAAAGAAAGAAAGAAAGAAAGAAAGAAAAAAGTGAAAATAAGAAGGCGAGAAAGAAAGTAAGAATTGAATGTTGACAAGCCAGGAAAAATTAGTCAGGAAATGTCTTCAAAAAGCGAATGATCGCCTAATCTGATAAGTATTTAAGTGTTAATTACGCAAGAAAGAAACAAATGGAATTTGACGAAGAGAAGGAAGGAAAAGAAAATTTAAAATAATAATAATAATAATAATAATAATAATAATAATAATAATAATAATAATAATGAAAGCCTATTCAGCCATAGCTGATAACGCATGAAGTGTTACTTACATGATAGATATTTTCAGGATCAAACCAAACATTCAGTTCTAACGTTTCTTCTCTATCTGACCCGGACCTCTTAACCTTATCGACTCCACCTTGGCATCGCCCCCGCACTCACCGACCTCCACCTATACAATTGCATTTTGATAAAATCCTGAGAGGCTTCGTGTGTTTTATTCAGGGAATGGAATGCATAGGACTTCGAACTGGCGATCGACATCATTCTCACCCGCACCTCACCCTTGCAAGCAGGCATACATGCTCACACACCTACGACGAATAATAATAAAGACAACCTGCTTATGTGTACACTTCAGTGGTGTCAAGGGTCCATTCTAGTAAAAACCAAGCATTGCAAATGCTGATTTTCAAGGTAGATTCGTTTACCGATATCCATGTGCCCAAGCACAGGTGTGTACACGCCACCAAGATAGATTCTTTCTCTTGTGGACCACCCGCTAGTGTCAGTAGTCGATCCCAGTTACAAAGCAAGGATGTAGAATGCTGATTTTAAAGGTAACATGAAAGAAAATAAGAAAAAGAAGAAATAAAGAAGAGAATATCAGAAGAATAAGAAAGAAAGAAAGAAAGAAAGAAAGAAGGAAAGAAAATCCAAATGAATAACTGATAGAAGAAATAAAGGAAAATCCTAAAAAAGAAAGAAAGAAAGAAAAGAAAAGAAAAAAATCCCCCAAAAATGAATGATACAAGAAATAACAGAAAATCCTAAAACAGAAATTAAAGAAAGAAGGAAGGAAAGTATGAAAGAGAGAAGGAAAGCAAAAAAGAAGGAAGGAAAGTATGAAAGAGAGAAGGAAAGCAAAAAAGAAGGTAAGAAAGAATGAAAGAGAGAAAAGAAGAAAAAAAGAAAGAAAAATGAAAGCGACAAGGGAAGAAAAAAGAAGAAAAGAAAGAATGAAAGAGAGAAGCGGAAGTAAAAGAAAAGAATGAAAGAGAGAAAGAAAAAAAGGAAGAAAAAATCAATGAAAGAGAGAAGGGAAGAAAAAGAAAGAAAAGAAAGAATGAAAGAGACCATCAAGACAGATTATTTCTTTTCTGTACCATCCATTGGTGTCAGTAGTCGATCAAAGTTACAAAGCAAGGATGTAGAATGTAGAATTTCTTTCACATGTCCTGTATCCATAGCTTAATCTACGCTGCTATTTAACCCATAGCTGGGGGGAAATGGATTCATACCCTTTTTTTTGCGCGCGCGAAGTGAACGAAACTGAATCGAGGAAGAACTGAACTCCACACGCCGAATTCATCTTCTGCGTTTATAACCGTTAAACAACACGTCCCTTCAGTCCCGTACAACTTATATCTGTAAAGAATTAAGAATTGAGTTAATCAGACTTACTTACACATTCCTAAAAGAAATATAAAAAAAGGGGTCATTATTTTTGTAAGTGCCAACAGCTCGGATTTCTAATGTTTATTTTAAAAGAAACCAACCCTACTCGCGCATATGCAAGTTATATAACACTTATTCACCTGGAAAGGGTCAGAGACGATGTAAATTCTAAATTAATGTTTCGTTCAGCTTGCGCTAATACACTTCAAAAAAAGTATAAATCCATATATAGGTAAAATAGCAATGCAGACGAGGCTTTCTAGGCTTGAGTGGCAACCAGTCCCGCAGAAAGACAACTCAAGTTTCAAAAACCGTGGAGAAATTGACGAGAAATCATTTCATTGTATTTCCGAAGAAGCTACCTGAATTCTTTAGTTTCACCATTCAGTCGTCCTGAGCATGACGATAAACTATGTCCATCAGCAAAGCCTCTAATTGGGACATTGGAGTTTTTGAGTGTCGTGAAACCACGTCATAATTGCTGTCTCGGCTATGGAAAAATAGTTAACACCCCACCAAAAACAAAAATCAACAGTACAATTTTATAATAAAATGAGCAACAATAGATTTTTATAACAAATTAACAATTAAAGCAACACAAATTAGTAAAATTAGTAAAAATTACCAATAATAATTTTGTATATTCTACAAACTATCTACCTCAAACAAGAAAAAAATACCCTGAAAGTATAAAATTATCTACAAAATATGTAAATTTCGGCGTTAAATAACCCATAGAGGTGTTGATATGCTGTTAAACAAAATCAATCAACTAAGATCTACCAGTTCAGACCTTTACAACTCGGACACGCCACCATGATACTACCACGGAGCCAAATCACCGTCATATATACTAGAAAGCTTTTATTTACATTATTCGGACTTTGTCACCATATCTATCACAACGTTTCGGCCGTTGTACGCTCCAGTCTTTTTCAGGTGGTTGGAATGTCGAACTGAACCCTTTATTTGGCTCACTGGGGTAGACTGTTCTAGTTCCATGTGCCATATCCTTGAGGACACATGGCACAGTGGATAAAGGCGTTAGTTAAATCCAGTGACAGGACCTAAAGAGTGTGAGTTCAATACCTGGTTAAGGCGGTGGAGAACTTTGAGAGGGGAATTAACAGGAGATAACTGATAACTGATATCCATGAGACATGGCCGTACAACGGCCGAAACGTTGTGATAATCATGGATGACAAAGTTGAGGACAATAGTCCGAATAATGTAAATAGTGTTCATAATACCTCATCTCAGAAATATAGGCAGATATAGAAGGCTTTTATTTAACAATAATAAAATGTCCGTTGAAGTCTGGATTATAATTGTCAGTTCGGCTATATTTGAAAAGTGAAAAGCATGGTCGATATTCGACGGAGTCTGTTGATATTCACTCCTAATTAAAAATAACAGATGATTGACATGAAAAACTTCGAAGTTCAAGAGGCGATAAAATTTACGCCTAATTCATTTGGGCGCCATGTACGATCAATACATGAGCGAAGATATCTTAACCGAAGTACATCCGTGTTTTTGTATTTGTTTTTGTTTTTTTGCTCGAAGTAACTTGCTGACCCTTTTTACACCACTCTTTGTTGGCGTTCTTATCTTCACCTTACTTAATAACTCCTGTCTACTAACTATTTACTTACTATTTACTATTTACTTACTAACTCACGATCTGTTGTGCTATCCATTTGCTCCTTACTAATTCCTGTATTTATCCCCTATCCATTTATTACTTACTATTAATTAACCCATTGAAGTGTTGATAAGAAACCTGATCTACAAACTAATTCCTTACAAAGAATACATACTCTGTTCATACGAACCTATCCTAAAAATCCTGTTGGCATTAAGTAACCCATTGAAGTGTTTGATAAGCAAAATAACCCAAACCAATTTGCTCCTTACTTAATGAATCATGAGTTTGTTCTCTCATCCATTTACTTGTAACATTCTAATTCCGATCTTTATTCTCTTATTCATTTGGCCCTTACTTACTAACTCCTATCTTTTTGCCCACTATCCATTTCTTCCGTTTTTATTAACTCCTGTCTTTATTCTCAATTTATTCCTTACGTATATTTTGTCTAAAAAACAACGGCGTCAGAATTGATCCCTCGCCTGATAAGGGAAGATACGAACGACAGATGTCACCGGACCGTCATCTAGCGACTGTTCACACCAAGCAAAAATATTTCTACAGAAAACCAAATCCATGTGGCCAGTTAGAATATATGAAGCGGGAAATGAGTAGGCGAAATATCAATATTTTACACGTATACGAATCTAGGTGGGCAAACAATGAAGATTTTGTCAGTGAAAAACATAGGTTCCTCAGGCGGAAAGAAAACTTGGTATGAAATGGGATTATGTTAAACCAAGACATGAAGAAATGTTGTTCTGTGATACTATCAGCTAGTTAAAAGAATTCTTGTAGTTAAACTGAAAGGGGGACTTTTCATATATTTATCGTAGTTGTATATACACCGACAGCGCTTGTCCTGGGTAAGACGATAAACTACGTCCAACAGCAAGGACTCTGATCAGGAGTTTTTGAGGAGTGTGGAACCACCTCTTAATTGCTGGTATTCCCAGGTCCACTCTGACCTGACCTGGTAGAACCTGTTTGGGTCCAAGCTAATAGTTAACCCTCAAACTAGGGTCAAAACACTATGAAAGTGTAAAAATAGGTTTTAATACCAGAAATAATTTGTAAAAAATTATTACCAGCAATACATTATTACGAGCAATACATTTTTGAAAAAAAATATTACTAGCTATGCATTAAAAAAAAATTACCAGCAATACATTTTTGAAGAAAAAAATATTACCAGCAATAAAAATCTTGTCGGCATTAAATAACTCATTGAGGTTGATAAGCCGTAAAACAAACCAAATCAAACCAAAGTCCGACAAGATGAAGTTGAAAAGCTTTAATATATGCCAGACAATGCGAGGACTCAGTACAAATTATCATGAGAGACCTGGATGCCAATGTCGTCCAAAAGGGGGATGGTGAAATAGTTGGCAAATTCAGTTGAAGAACTCGGAAGGAACACAGAAAAATTGGTCCAAATGCAGGCAAGTGGTATGTTATATAGGAATAAAGTGTTGCTGCCGACACTTGAGTTTGAACATAGATCGCCAGTGAGCAAACACAGGCGATTCCATTATTGAATTAAGTAGACCATAGAGGAAACGCATATATGTAGGAAATAGCTAACGACTAATGATCACTATTTCTAGTCTATCCTCTATTACTATCCGGACCTCTATTCTCTATATTATTTCTCTATTCTGATTACTATTCCGTGATTACTATTCGAGCATGTATTATCGAGCAAGTACTATTAGTGCGACTGATATTCGAAGGCGACTGACACCAGTATTGTTCTACGGCGTTAGTATAGTTCCATCTGCGATTACAAAGTCTCTACTACAACGAGCACTTCAAAAGTGACAACGAATATTCGTTGACATTACAAAGTGGCAAAGAGTGTTCGTTGACATCACAAAAGGTGTTCAACGAAAAATGTACAGAAATAATAGATTGAGTATCAAAGATGATACGGATATACATAAAGGAATAAAAGAACTAACAAGACCCAAAAAAATATGCGCATCAACCGGAAGTTTAAAATCTAAGGACGGAACACTGATATTAGAGAAAAAAAAATACTTCGTAGATGAAACGATTACTTCAGAGAACTCTTTCTTACCCGTGGAGACCTCTTTCTATTTCTGTCGCTTACAATCTTCAAACGTTTAAATACAACGCCAATCGCAATCTTATGTCTTTTTCAACCTTGTTCTGTTATTGTCCTTTCTCATTTTCTTTCATTACCAGTAACCGCTTGCATCTCAGTGGCTTTATCACCTTACGTAAGGTGAAATGATTTAAAAAAAGCAACAACAACAATAACAAAAAACGGTCGATCAGTGTAATTCTAGAAGGTATTGTTTTCAAGGCAAAGAACATTTACATTAATTCTGTTCCATTTCAGGTGATGAGATTTTAATTATAAATAAATTAACTTATCTTATGAATGCGTCAAATCTGAGTTTTGAGGACTTACAACCATTCTTCCGGAAGTGCAACTCTAATTCCGTGAAATTAACTGAGTAAAATTATTTTAGTTGTTACTGTACATTCATATTGCAGCATGTCACTCAGCGCAGATGTTGCCAAAGTAGACTTTGCATTCGGTGTTCATCAAAGAAGCCAGGCATATTAGAGGCTTAAAGGGTGGAAATCCGCGCATTACCCGATGACAGTATCTTCCCCCGACATGTAAGCATGTGATCGACCCAGCACCTCCATGGATGTGCCACATGTGACATCACAAAAAGGTGTTCAACGAAAAATGTGCAGAAATAGACTGTGAGAGCTTCACAGATAATGCAGATATGCATAAAGGAATAAAAGAAACAAAAAAAAAATTAAGCGGAAGTTTAAAATCCAAGGACGGAACACTGATATTAGAGAAAAAAAATACTTCGTAGATGGAAAGATTACTTCGGGGAACTCTTCCACGACGAATGTGGACAACCCGCAATGCTCAGAAATATCGAACGACATGGAATATTAAAATTTTGAAGTGAAATCAGCACTTCCCAAATAGAACAGATATGCAATATGCAACTGAGGCAAAATAGCGGAAGATCTAAATACA